AGTTTCGCTAAAAAGACCAATGAACTTGCAACTTGCTTGTAGCTGATTAAAGAAAAAAAAGAGCACACCTGTGCGCACACACCTGTTATATATTTCGTTTGTTTCGGTTATTTTCGAATAACCGACCGACCGATCATTTTATGTTTGAAAATGCTTTTCAAGCTGCCCAAAAAAATGTTCAACAGGTTAAATTTGGTTGAAGAGAGGAGGGGGAAAGTGAAATACGAAAATGAAAGAGAGAGTTTTTCATCTGAGAAAAAAAAGTCTTTTTCAGATCGACACGATAATGAACTAATGGCAAAAAAATTTCTCTTTTCTTTTCGTCTCTTTTAAGTCGCCCGAATGTGTTTTATTTTGCGTCCGAAATGTATGATGTTCGTTTGGTTGGTTGATGGATACCCGACCTCTATTCCAAACTTGAATATCTATCGACTGTGTCTGTGTGTGTGTGTGTGTGGTGTTCATTTTCCTATGGTGAGAACCTGATTTTCAAGTTGGTTTTTTTTGAACCAACCAAATCTCTCAAGTTGGTTTTGATTGCTGAAAAAATGGCCAGTTTGGTTTATCATTCAGGTGTCTATATTCGGGCGTATGATGATGATGATCAACGAGAAAAATCAAAAAACCTATCTCTCTTTTGAACCAGGTTTCTATATGTTGTTTTTTAAATATATGTAGGTTATAAATATATGTAGTGTATTTTATCATGATTTTTGTATGATTTTTTTTTTACTTTTCGTTTAAAATTATTATCAACATCATTTGTACAACATCACCAGTGATGATCACATCTGTTTGATTTTTTGGTTTGATGATGATGATGTTAGAATTTTTGTTTTTCTCAGAAACACATCGTTTTCATCTATTTTTTTCCAACTTAATGACCAAGTGTGTGTGTCGTTTGATAACCAAGTGTGTGAAAATTGAAAATTTAAATTAATTTCCAACCGAAAAAAACGATTCAAAAAACTCTTAATTTTTATCAATTTAAAATTTAATAAAATGATTGGATTTCAGTGTTCAACAACAATTACACAGCCATCATGTCTTGGCCGTACAATATTTCCATCAAGTGTTGCAACATCATCAACACATTCAAATTCATCAGTAACCAATGGTATTGGTAATGGTATTGGTTCATCATCATCATCATCATCATCATCAACAAATTCATCAACAACAACATCAACAACAACTTTCCATAATCGTATACAAATATCACCAAATTTAATTGATTATTTTCCATTAAATGGTGATGGTTTACGTTTAAATTGGGCACATGCTGTTAATAATCGACAAAAATTATTAACATCATTACGTAATGATGATCTTATGATTGAAGGTGATGTTAGTTTAGCTGAAACATCACGTTATCCAGTACCAATAATGGCACATCCACCAAATAATATTAGTGATTTAACATTGGAAGATTTTCTTATAGAAATTGTTCGTTCAAATTGTGCAAAAGGTATTAAATTGGATTTTAAATCAACACGTGTTGTTGAACCGGCATTCCGTGTATTGGCTAGACATGTTGATTTTATTAAAGGTCCAATTGTTTTGAATGCTGATATTCTTGCTGGTAAGTACCTGTTGTTTGTTGTTTGTTTTTTATGTTTCTGATTTTTATTTTGTTTGATTGATTTAGGACCAAACAATCCTGAAACAACACCAGTAGATGCATGGACATTTTTAATGTTATGTCGAACACGTTTTCCAAAAGCAATCATATCTATTGGTTGGACAACTAATTTGGATGGACAGATAAAAATTGGCTATAGCCGTGAAATGATTGATCATATGTCATCATTAGTACGTGAATATAATCTAATGCAACCATTAACATTTCCAGTTAATGCTACATTACTTAAATATTCAATTTGTGAAATACAACGTCTTCTATTTCAGGTATGTTTGTTTGTTTGATTTTGTTTAGTTTTACTAATTTGATTGATTTTTTTTTTCTCTAAAAGGTACCAAACAGTACATTAACCGTATGGGCACATCCAGAAGAATTTGCCAATAATAATCTAACATTACATGATTTATTTATCATACGTAAAGCATTCTCAATCAATTCCGTTTTTTATGATATGCCTTCCGAAGTTATTAATGAATTACGACGTGCTAGTAATATTTGAATATTTGGAACAACAACAAAACATAACAAAAACAACACAAAAAAAATCATTTTTGTTTTTATTTTTCATTTTTGTTTCATTTTAATTTGTTTGTTTGTTTGTTTTTTTAATTTTCGTATTTGTTTGTTTGTTCTGTTCTGTTTTTAGCCATTGTTTTTTTTCTCTGATGTAAGGATTAGGTAATTCTCTGGTGCCTTTTGTTTGTTTGATAAATTTTTGGGAATTACAAACAAAACAAAAAAAAAAAAAAAAATGAAAAAAAAGTTTCAAAATTAAAAATCCATATTTATAAATATTTCTATTACCAATCATCATTTTATAAAAAAT